GCTGCTGCTGATGTGCTGCTGCTGCTGCTGCTGATGTGCTGCTGCTGATGTGCTGCTGCTGCTGTGCTGCTGTGCTGCTGCTGTGCTGCTGCTGCTGCTGTGCTGTGCTGATGTGCTGTGCCGATGTGCTGCTGATGTGCTGCTGTGCTGCTGCTGCTGTGCTTGCTGACGATGTGCTGCTGATGTGCACTGAGGGCTGAAACCGCAGCTTGGGCAGTAGCTGCCTGCAGCAGGGGCAGCAAGGGGCTGTGGCTGAGCCAGGCCTCCCCCTCAGGGCAGGCTCCTGGGACTGGACTTTCAAGGTCCCCATTCCTGCTCCATCCATGGGGCCTTGGCTGTGCTCTGACGTCCCAGAAACCTCTCCATGCTGGTGTGGTGCTGGTGCTCCTGCCCCGGGGCTGGCCCAGTGCCTCGTCCAAACTACACAGCTCAAAAGGCAGGTTCCCTTTCCCCAGATGAACACCCCATCTGCTCCCACTGCTGCTGTGCGGATGCCTGCATGTGCAGCTCACACCAGACGTCACACTGTGCTGCGACCCTTACAAATCCAGCTCCGTGATAAGTGATGACTGCTTTGTCCCCTTAAGTGACTGCTTTATATAGATGTGACTTCAGATCCTGAACGCTGAATGACCAAATCTCCTGCAGGAAATTATTCTACCTTAAGCATCAGCTTTCGGAAATGCATCATCTGACCTCTGGGAACTGCAGTCAGAGAACACAGGGCAGAGGTTCTGCCCACAGCTCCCTTCCACAGGGGATTCCACTGGGATCACTGCTGCCTGTTTACTGGGATCTCTGCATCCTGCTACATCATCTCAGAAATGAATCATTTCAAAAGCTGTATTTTATGATGTTTTAACTAATAGCTTAAAGATCAGTTGCACACAGTTCTGAGTTCAAGGTATGGCTCCATTTGGCTGTATTTGCTTAGATAAAACTCAGAGGAGGAACTGTTAAACAGGTTTGAACCTTGCTGATATACTGACTGCTTATGCTTAGTAAGAGACAAAGGAATTTTACCCTGGGAAGACAAGCCAGAGTATGGTGATGCATTTACACACAGAGCAAAGTATTATCACAGTATCACAGTATGTTAGAGATTGGAAGGGACCTCAAAAGATCATCTAGTCCAATCCCCCTGCCGGAGCAGGAACACCTAGATAAGGTTACACAGGAACGTGTCCAGGCGGGTTTTGAATGCTCCAAAAGGATCCACAACCTCCCTGGGCAGCCTGCCAGTGTTCTCACCCACTGAGAAGAGTTTAATGGAACCTCTTGTGTCCATTTGTACCCATTCCCCTTGCCTATCATTGTTTGCCACTGAGAAGAGCCTGGCTCCATCCTCGACACTCCCCCTTTATATATTTATATACACTAATAAGGTCACCCCTCAGTCTCCTCTTCTCCAAACTATAGAGACCCAGCTCCCTCAGTCTTTCCTCATAAGGGAGATGCTCCACTCCCTTCATCATCTTAGTTGCCCTGCACTGGACTCTCTCTCTTCTACAGAAGATGCAGTTAGAACATGCACAGTTTATCATTCAGTTTTGCACCTGATGACTCAGCTAATGCAACTATAATGGGAAAATGGGCAGAACTCTTCAGGATAGCTTCCATTTTTAAAAGCTTTTATCAGATGTGTGTTTCCACGTAATACATGCCCTGAAAACTGGTGGAGGAAACCTCTGAGAGGCACAGGCTCCCACCACATCCCATTCTGAAGCATCTTAATCTCTGGGAGCTTTGGAGTTTGCCTCATGGCAGCCAAGTGGCCAAACCCCCTTCTCACAGGGGTGCAGTGGATGATGGCAATGGCCAGCCCTTCATCAGCCTGCCTTTTCCTATTTCAGAGGAGCCAGCACTGATACCAAGGTCAGATTTAGTCCTCACGTAAGTGTTAAAGTGCGTTAACACTTTCACTGTAGCAGCAGCAGGGTTCAATTTGCCCTGCTCTGCATTAAGCTCTCAATGCTGTGGGAGACAAGAAGGTGCCTTCAGACCTGCCCTGGCTGCCTGCAGTTGGCTGTCCTGGCACGTTCACTCAGCAGGGCCAACCCTCCAAGCCCCAGACATGAATGTCTGCCCCACAGTGGATTAACTCCCTACCATCTACACGTGGCACTGGGCACATCTTCCTCCCTGCAGCTCACTGATGAGCAAGAACCAAGCTCAAATGACCTGAATTCTGTGATTTTAATCACAGAATTAACCAGAAAACCCCAACCCACTCTAATTATGCCTATGCTAAATGACTCACCGAGCTCTTTACATGACCACATTGTGCAGGACCTAACAGGGAGCGAAGCGAAAGCACTGCTCTCCCAGGGCACCGTCACTCCAGCCATGGAATCGAGATTCCAGGGAGCTTTCATGGGAAGAATTCCTGGCAAACTTGACAGCACAGAGTGCCTGAAGCCATGCAGTTAGGTGTGAGGCACCAAATGCTCCCGTTGTCACACAAGTTATTAGACATGAGAGCAGCCATACAGCCACAATCACCTCATCCGCAATAACAAGGCCTTTTTTAACCCAGCAGGAAAAGACAATGACCTGGAACGATGAGAAACTGCCAGAAGGGACAGGCTGAAAGTTGCTGTTTTTCTAAGCCAATTGAAATAAAAGGAAAAGGGGAAAAAAGAAAAAAGCGAAGAGCAAGCCAAGATTTTAGCCATGCGCTCCCTGAGCCAACTGCGCGCATTGATTGTGGCAGTGAAAGGGAAAAGCTGGAATGACCCAAGCGGCTCCTCTCAGGGAGCTGCAGGTACCCAACTGGCAACCCGTGACCACAGAGTTGAGACACTTGTGGGAGATTTATCACTCTTCTAGGAGGAGGCATTGTGTAAGTGAGTGATGGGAAGAATACGCAATATGAGTTACTGTAAGCCGTAAATGGGCTCCGAAACAATAGACTATTGACAGCAAATTGTGTGTCCCATTCCAAGGTCATGTGTTGAAACATTCTGTAGAAGAAAAATGATGAGGTTATTTGGTTTAATGCTGTGTGCCAGCACTATCTGTCCTCCTGTGACTGCGGGAAGTGACCCCCAAAGAGCCGCAGGAACAGCCCAAGCTTTGGTACTCCTTGTGGCGTTCTGCTTTCCTGCAATGCTCCATGGCTGAGAAATCATTTCTATAGCTATATGACATGTAAATTCATTGTTCACAGAACCCCAGCCTGGTTTGGGTTGAAGGGAGCTTAAAGCTCCCCCAGCTCCAACCCCTGCCACAGGCAGGGACCCCTTCCACTGGAGCAGCTTGCTTCAAGCCCCTGTGTCCAACCTGGCCTTTTAACTAATCCTGTTAAAAACTAAGGACTATCCGTGCAGTTTATTTCACTGAACCCCTTCATTTTCTTTCTTAGGACCTCATCCTGCCCTGGGACTTAGCAACCCTGGCTTTCCTACCCAGGATTTTTACTGAGAGGACCAGTGCATCCCAGGCAAATCCTGCTCTTCCTGTGCATCTCTTGACCCCGCAGTGTTTTACCCTCCCTGGGTGCCCCGGGAGCAGCAGCAGCACTTGTGAGACATGGGCAGAGCGAATCCACAGGCTCTTGGCACACATGGAACCGTGTGTAGCTCAGTGCCCCTGCGAAAACAGGGGTTCATTAACTGGCACAGGTACTGTCCCAGGGCTGTGGAAACAACAGGATCAGCAACAACGGATTGAACATTACAGGGGCATTCTCCACAGCAAGCTCACTGCGGCATTACAACAGAGCAAACATTAATCCAACTGCAGGATTCCTGGCAAGCGGCACACAGGCAACTCCAACTGAACCACGCAGACCTTGCCAAGCAGGGATGGAGCCCTGTGCCCGTACCACTGTACTGCGGTACAGGATGCTACAGTCACAGAATCCACCAGGTTGGAAAAGCCCTTTAAGCTCACCCAGTCCAACCCTTACCCCAGCACTGCCAAGGCCACCCCTAACCCATGGCACTGAGGCCTCGTCTCCAGGGGGTGTGAACACTTGCAGGGCCGGTGCCTGCAGCCCTGCCCTGGGCAGCCTGTTCCAATGCCTGAGCACCCTCTGGGGCAGGAATTGTTCCTCAGCTCCATCTAAACCTGCCCTGGTGCAGCTTGAGGCCGGTTCCTCTTGTCCCATCCCTTGTTCCTTGGGAGCAGAGCCCAGCCCCTCCTGGTTCCATCCTCCTGTCAGGCACTTGGAGGCAGCCATCAGGTCCCCCCTGAGCCTTCTCTTCTCCATCTGAACCCCCCAGCTCCCTCAGCCCTTCCCCATCCCATTTGTGCTCCAGGCCCTTCACACCCAGCTCCTCTCCCATGAGCATTTTCCAGCTGCTGTTCCCCAAGCCTGGAGCACTCCTGGGGTTCCTGTGGCCCAAGTGCAGGCCCCAGCACTGAGCCTCATTGAACCCCATCCCATCACCCTCATCCCCTCCATACAGCCTGTGCAGACCCCTCTGCAGAGCCTCCTGCCCCCAGCACATCAGCACTGCCACCCGCCCTGGTGCTGCCTGGGCACCCGCTGAGGCTCTCACTGATCAGGCCATTGGATAATACTGGGGCGCTGGGGCCACCGCAGGCACCGTCAACACCGGAGGCGTCAACCCCGACAACTGACACTGCAAACACTGCCGTCATGGGGCGTCATCTGCCTTCGGGACACATGCACAGTGCCATCACGGGCAACAAACTGCGGCTGGAGCAGGACTGCGCTGGCTGTCCCCCAGCGCAGCAGCCCTTCCCATAGCCGTTATCCAACCCGGACGGTGAATAAAGCCGCCGTTCAACGTTAAACCCCGGCCGTGACGTCACGTTAAACGCCGCCGCACCGGCCCGGCCGTGACGTCACATCAAACGCCCGCCGCGGGGCACGCCGGAGGCTGTAGTCCTCCCGGCCGCGGGGGGGCGCGGCTGCGCAGTGCGGCGGGCGGGCGGGGGGGGCGGTGCGGACACGCCCACCCGTGCGGCGGGCAGCGGGCAGCGCGCTCGGCGGCCCGCGGGGACGGTGACGGGCTCGGGTTTGGGCTCTGCCGGCGCTGCCCGCCCGCAGCCGCGCTGCCCCGCGCAGGGATGTTCTCCAGGAAGGGCCACGCCGATGTCAGGAAATCCACGCAGAAGGCGCTGGACCCGAAGCGGGACGTGCTCACCCGCCTCAAGCACCTCCGGGCGCTGCTGGGTGAGTGCGGCCGCCGCGGCGCAGAGAGGGGAGCGGGCGGGGCAGGACCGGGCCGGGAGACCCCCGCCCCTGCGCCCCGCCGGGCAGCGAAACCCTTTGGGGCCGGGCAGGGCCGGGCCGGGCGAGAGGAGCCTCACCTTAGCGAAAGCCTCACCTCGAGGCGGAGGTGCCGGCCGCGCCCGCCGTTCCCCCCCCGCTTCCCATTCACCCTCGGTGCCTCGATCCGATCACCAGCGCTGCTGGGCGGCTGCTGTCCTCAGGCAGGAGTAAAGACTTGACGGGCAGCCCCCGCTGCAGGTGCCCGTGCCTGCCCTGAGTTACCGCAGCTTTCCCCAAGCTCCCTTGGCAGTGCTGGGGAGCGCCGGGCGTTCTCAGCGCCGTGGGAAGGCAGCAGCCCGTGTCCTTCCCCAGTTACTGGAGCCCATGCACAAGGTTATGGCTGTGTTCTGCTGCTCCGGGCTTCGGAAACTTGGGTCGCTTGTGTCGAAATACTTGTGCTGCAGCATTGTTGTTTGGGGACAAAGCCGTGCCTACATGGGTGATTTCCTGCGGGGCTCTTCGGAAGAGCCGGTCTAGGAGCTCTGCTCCTGTCAACAGCACGTTGACAGCTTGTCCTTCTTGCTGCCTCCCTGAGAGCTGCTTTTCTGGGGGCAGGCTGAGAGAGCTGGGCTGGGGCAGCCTGGAGAAGAGAAGGCTCCTGAAGGGGAGACCTGAGAGCAGCTCCAGTGCCTAAAGGGGCTGCAGGAAAGCTGGAGAGGGGCTTGGGACAAGGGCCTGTAGGGACAGGGCAAGGGGAATGGCTTGAACCTGCCCGAGGGGAGACTGAGCTGAGCTCTTAGGCAGAAGCTCTTCCCTGTGAGGGTGCTGAGGCGCTGGCACAGGGTGCCCAGAGAAGCTGTGGCTGCCCCATCCCTGGCAGTGCTCAAGGCCAGGTTGGACACAGGGGCTTGGAGCAAGCTGCTCCAGTGGAAGGGGTCCCTGCCCGTGGCAGGGGTTGGAGCTGGAGGAGCTTTGAGGTCCCTTCAACCCAAACCAGGCTGGGTTCTGGGATTGCAGCTGTGAGAAATGGGTTGCTAAGATTTGGGTGGCCTCGTGTTCTCTGTTCCTCAGCAAATGGCAGCAGGAGAATGCTCTTAAGAGCTTTCATGCGCTGTCCCTGTTCAGGAGCATTGGCAGCAGTGTTTGTTTATCAGTTTAGACTGTTCTCCTCGGTAAGAAGGAGGAGAAGATGATCAGCTCTGTACCGGTGTACTGCAGCCATTGGCTAGTTTGCCCTTTCAGTCAGGTTTGCAGGTGTGTTACAGCCTCAAAGGTGTTGTGTTATGAGTTGTGAAAACAAGTGTCTGGAGGGGAGGGCCTTGGGTTAGTGGCTTGTCAGGAGAGAGCAGGAGGCTGCAGGGCTGCACGGATGAACCTCCCTGTGGCAGTGTGGGCCCGTTCGTAGTGCTGGAGATGGAGCTACAGGTTAAAATGCCATCTGTGAGGAGGGAACATACACAAACAGGTTTGAGCGTTCTGTAACAAATCGAGGAGCTTTCGTGGTGAGGACCCTGAGTGTGGTCCTGAGGAGAGCAGTGCTGATCTCCCTTGGGATGGACCCTTGGAGAAAGCTGGGCTCAGAGTGTGGAAATGAATGAGTGAAGTGAAAGCAAAGGCTGTGGTAGTTTAGCTTGCTGCGGGCATCTTGCTGATTGTCTGGGGGTGTGTTTCGCACATGTGTGAGTAACCATCACCCTGCTTTAAAGGTGGTGTTCCCCTGTGATCTGCTGCATCTAGGTAGCTGATCTGAACTGGAGACTTCTGTGCATAACCGATCAGTGGACAAGTGCTGGACAGATCTATAACTGGTCTTGAGTCATGCTCTGAAAGTGGCCAGGTCTTGCTCATCTTGTGACCAGCAGTGCCCACAGGTTTGATGTGCCCAGACCATAGATAGTCAATATTCCCAATGTGGACTCACAAGTGGAGCAGTTCTGACCGCTGTGGTGGTGGGACACAAGAGGCTCACATGTCGGAGTCCCTCAGCACCTGCAGTCTGCATGCTGTTTGTGAACAGCATTGAACCTTGGCTTTGGAATTAGTGCTGAGTGAAGGGTCTGTGGCTGCTCTGGGTATAAATCCCTCCTGTTCTGTATGTACAGAATCCCCATAGTTGGCAATCTGGTGTCAGTTTCCTGTTGATTTCCCTCTGAGGACCCAATGTGTGTGTGAGAAGTTTGTTCACCTTTCTATGTATTTCATTCTTAATGGTACCCTGTATTTAAGTGCCATGTATTTAAGGGCGGGACTTTGGAAAGGCGGGAGCACATAGCTTACCTGCATTATGATGTGCCTTTTACCTGTGTATGTCTCATTGCTCATGTGCTGTGCAAGCAATAGTAAAAGAATGGCAAGTTTCAGTGTAAAAAAAATGTTGGGAAGCTTCTTGTTTCTGAGGTGAGGTTTAGAACACTGTGAAAGCATCCAGGGAGAGATGCTCTGAGAGGCTGGAATGCGAGCTCACAGACCTTGTGTGCCATCCTGCTCCACCAGCCCCATGGAAGTAAAGGGACTTGAAGAAATGAGAAGTGCAGCAGCTTGGGTTAATGTTCCCTTTTCAGCCTCTCGGAAGGACACAACTAGGTTAAGGTGAAGCACTGGTGTGGCTGTGGCTCTTGGTGATACCCAGCCTAGGGAGCGTGATGTTTTGTGTGCCCGTGCAGGACAGAAGGTTGTCAGGCTCTGGTGACAGAGCTGACGGGTGGAACTAATGGGAAATACACCCATGAGCGTGACGAAATTCACTGATGTCCCCAGGCAGATGGAACAGAACGGGAGAGCCGTGCCTGGTGCTTTCTGTGGAAGTACTGACAACCCAGCTGGTAACAGGGGGAAATATCCCCATCACTGCTCAGGAAGTAGCCACTTCCAGAGGTAGGGACCTGATGTTTTGATTAAGCTTCCTGTTGAACACTGGTTTCAGGTGAAGCTGTTATCAGACCCGGAGGGCTGGGCAGTGAATGAGGGCCTTGCTGGCTGCACTGCTGGGATGTGACAGCTGGCTGTCTCGTAGGGGATGTGGTTTATTGCAGGCACTGTGTCAAAGCAGGCTCTGGTCCTGTTCCTCATGTCTGCCTTTGAGAACATCAGTGTAAACACTTCAGATAACATGGGAGTGGCTTTCTGAAGATAGTATCTTCAGAGATATTGTTGCAAGTGCATGTTTTATGGTGTTATTCAGCAGGGGAATGAAGCAACTCATGGTAAGCATCTCTCCTGTATTTAAAGCAAACTGAGCTTTTGGTATAGGGTCTCAAAAAGAGTTGGATGTTTCTTCCTCTCCCCCTGCGGTGTGGCACTCCTTGTGCTGGCCAGGGCTAGGAATGTGTGTGTCTTCGTGTCCTCCCACCCCAGTCATTTCACTCCCTGTCCCCAAGTGCTTGGCTCAGGCCGTAGTGGCACATGTTCTCAAAATAACTGCCCCGTTCTTGTGTTTCCGTAGGAGGTGCCATCCTCTCTGCCTTTGTTAGCTTTAAATCACAGGAATTAATCTGTAAACAAAATGACAGTTACTCCTCTGAGATCCTGCTGACGCAGGAGGACAGGAATCAGAGGATGGTATAACAGGGGGGGGATGAGGAGGAGGAATGTGTGTTTCCATAAATAAGGGGTTCTGGGAGCACCGGGATCAGCAACACAGTTTGATGGCTTCAGGTCCCTTAGCTACCACCTGTTTGACCAGTACCCAAACTGAAAGAAAATATTCCTGTACGTTTGTGTTGCTGTAACATCCCTCAAGTCTCTGATGCCCTTCAGGATCTGAGCTCCTACTTCCTGTGGGCAGTGTCTACCTGCATGGCCATGCAGAGCACTCACTGGAATCACAGTGGTGTTAGGGAAATGACCAGAAAAGTTCCTTTAGTTTTGTTGCTATAAAGACAAACTGACTTTCAGAACTTGGGTAAAATCGGTAGGAACATTTTTTTTTCCCCAGATATAGTGTCAACAGTGTGGACTTTTTAGGATAGACTTGAACCACACTGGTGTTACAAGTGGTGATGGTGACAAGCTTGGCTCTTTCATAGTGATTTGGCCATAAATGAAGCCCTCTGCTGTTTCCCAGGTTAGTGTCTGTGGGACATTGTTTAGCATAAAAATGTGTCTTTGCTCTTTAAAACTTTGCTTCTGTGACTCTTCATGGGTAAAAATATTCTCTTTCTCTTTTGAAGCATCTCTTGGGGTTTTCTCCTCAGGTACAAGTGCCAAGTTCACTCTAACATCTTTGCATGGCTTAGTGTGTTCCCCAGGAGTTTTTCTTCTGGTTCCAAGAATTGCTCTGTCATGACATAGTGTCTTTTATGAGTAATGGTGTAGCAGGAGCAACAGCTACCCTCTGCTGTAGTTCTCCAGTAGTTTACGTGAGGTCACTCTCTGCTCATGCAGAAAATGGGTAAGTTTTTGTTTCATGAGGCTGCTGAGCCTTTTCTGTGTGGTGTTATTGCTCCTCCCAGTTTCAGAGTGATTTTCCAGAGAACTTTAAGGCTGGAGCTAATGTTGGTGTGGATGTTGTCTCTGTGGACAGACCCTGGTGCTCTAAGTTGCCCACCACCATGCACATTACACTGAGAAACAACAGAGTGGGCTCTTCCCAGAGCCACTGGTGAATCGCTGAGAGCTGCCTGGGATGGGGACGGCGCTGAAGCTGAATTACAGGGGTTGAGTTTTCTTGAACTGAATATTGGTAAGGATGATAACATTGCTTTGAAAGCAGCAGCAGACTGGTGCCGTTGCCAAGCCCAAGAACGCGATACTGAAGGCGGGCAGTGGGGTTTGCAGTTATGGCACCAGCTTAGGGGAGGTTTTCATTTAGAGACACTCAGAGGTCACCACTTCCAGCCTTCCTGCTGAGTTTAGAGCAGCCGTTATCCTGAGGTTTCATGGGAAACTGGAGGTGTTCAGTTATTGTAGAGGTTGTTCTAACTAGAGGGGGTTACTATAGGATGTTGCCATACTGATGCACCTTTTTGAAGGTAAAAGCTGTAATTTCTGGGGCAAGAGTAGTAATAAAAGTTTATAATTAACTGGGGTACGACTGCACCATTGTCTCTTCATCTGCTTTAATTCTGAAGTATTTGAGCTAAAGAAAGCCCTTCAGCACTGAGGGAACTTTGTATGAGTAACATGAAGCCAGGCAACTTTGGAAGTTCATGTAATGAAGGGAGGATTTGGATTACTTAAGTGACTGCAGCAACACTTGGAGTTAACAGAAAAAGAAAGGTTCTGGCTTGCGAAGGACAGGATGATTGTCCCCACAGATTTAGTCATATGGGAAGGGTAATGAGAGCTTGGCAGGAAACCCAGGTTCTTATTCAGTGGTACCTGGGTAGTTTGTTTCCCTAAACTTTCAGCTTCAGAAAGGCAAGTAATGGTGACTGGCAGTTACCTTATGAGCCAACTGCTCCGTGTTTTATAGGGGAGAAATATCATGGGCACCCTCATGAACGTCTCCTTATCTCCTGTGTGTTGCTGTAAAGTGCCCATGGGCAGCATCAGGCGATGGATCACCTATCCATGTTTGGGGAATGCCGTTAGCATCTATGTGGGTTTGGAAAACCATTATGGATCTGATGGCTGACAGTGTTGCTTGCTCAGAGCTCTGGCGTCACTAGGTGGCTGGTTTCAGCAGGAGTAACCTGAGAGCTACTTCTGAGTAAATATAAAAATATTACCTAATACCTGCAATTCAATCCCAGCCCTGCAGTCTGATTTCCTGGGATGCTTCTGAATTCTTCAGGCAATAGGATTTCCCTAAAGTCAGTGTTTTATTTTCTTGTTTTGTATGATAAATAGTGCATGAAACTTTCACTGGTGTTTTCCATTTGGAAAGCAGAAGAATGAGCCTTACCCTGCCGCAAGCAGAACATACGTCTAGGAGTGAGCCAAGTGACTGTCTCAGGCCTCTTGCCAACTTTCCATGAGCCCTCCTGAGAAGCTCTGTCTTGTCCTGGTTTCCTTTGGTTTAGCTGCAGAGCCATCACCCACCTCTGCCCTCCTGTGCCCACCGGAGCAGGGAGAAGCGCTCGTGCTCACTGTGGCTTTCCACTGCTCCTCACCATGAGCATGTGTGATGAAGGAGGAAAGAAGTTGCATTGCATTTTCTTAATGTGTGCAGCAAATAAGGAACTTGGGAGTGGAATGCCCAAGAAAGCTCTGTCTTTGAACAATGGAATTACTGGGTGTGTGGCTTATTCCTTATGTACTGGATATTATGCTTTAGGTGAAGCGGGCAGTGGTGTCAGGATGACAACCTGCATGCAGGATTCCAATGAAGTCTTATTTCTGAGTGAATATCAGCCCTTGGGGTAGTAAATGGGGGTGTTGTTGCTGCCTGCTTCTAAGGCAAGAGGAGGTTTTCCTGCACGCCTTGGAAGGGGATGTGAGGAGCACCATGGTTCGGCAGGAGAGGGCTGCAGTGCTCCAACGCCTCCTGACAGCAGAGCAACACATGAGTCACCCATAGAGAAAAGGAGAATTTGCTTTTTTTGATCAGGCAGTTCCTTTCTCCTCCTTTCACAGCTCAAAGGCAAAGTTTCCTTTTTGTTCAGCTCTTAATGACCTCATCCCTTCATATGAAATCCTTGTAAATGGAAGCCTTGTTTTCTCCTAGAGTTGTATTTAACAGGACGCATTCAGAGAGGGGAATAATTGCACTTAGCTCACAAATTCGAGACCAGTAGCTTGTAGGAAACAGATATCATGTAAAAGAGTTTCCATGCCCCGCTTGTTTCCGTAGCACAAGCAACCAGGCAATGCCCTACTACCAAAGTGGTATTAATTAACCCTCCCTCCACATTGTCCGAGACTAAAGTCATTCCCTCTCCTGCAGGTGTGTGATATTACTGGGTTGTGTTGCAATTGCTTTGTCTTGATTAATGAATGAGTTTCTTGAGAGGTGCAATTTCAGCAAGAAGCTGTGTTGTTAATAATTCCTGCCCTTTATCTTCTTACTTTGGATGGAATCATCTCACTTTTCTTGACCAAATCAGTTCAGTGAAGGGCAGGTGATGTTAAAGTGTGTTATGCAAGTGGCAGGTTGAGAAAACATTAGGGTTTTTTTTCTTCTTAATAAATAAACTTATTTCGAATGCCAGCCCCAAGCCAAGGCTCAGGGAAGGGAGCACGCCTGGCTTTCTATTCAAATGAATTGGGAATCTGCTGTTTTCTGAACTGATCTGCTTGTCAGATAGTCTGCAACTTGCATGCAGGAATCTTTGCTGGTGTTTGTCTTTTCCCCCAGTACCTCCTTGTAATGACACAGAAGCCATTGTGTTGATAGCCAAGACACAGCCCATCTCCTTTCTGTTTCTGTTTATGGAACCCAGTGGACCTCAGCCACAGGCAACCTTTCACCGGTGAAGCGCAAATGGAAATGTCCCTGTTTTACTTGCAAGGATGGAATCACAGTTTGGTGTAGAACACCCAATGAACTCCCTGCAATGGTTTTGTATTGTGCTTATTTCATTCTCTAACACTCAATTTGCATGAGCACAGCGCCTTCCAGCTTTGTGACGTTGTGCAATGACTCTGTTTGTTCCTCTTTTCAGATATTGTGGACGGGAGTGACCTGAAGCAATTTTTTGAGAGCAATTATTCTCAAATTTATTTTGTATTCTATGAAAACTTCATAACACTGGAAAATAGCTTGAAACAAAAAGGTAAGTTTCAGAGGTTTGCCAGCAATTGTTGAGTCAGTTTTCCCCAACTGTTCTCGACAGCATTCTGTTAGAGCTTATCTGGTGATTGTCTAGTCCACAGTTACCTCTATTTGCATTAATGGTTCTGTGCAGTACAGCATTAGTATTAATCATGTTAATTTTATGGTAGCAGAGAGATGAGCACAGAAATTGCTCTGAAATGTCGTAACTGAAAAGAATTCTAAATGCATTTTTATGGTGAAGTGTCACTTCAGCTCAAGAATCGGTTCTTGTGCATTTACATCCACATCCTCTTGTCTCGTTTGAAGTGCTGAAGCCTTCAGCCTGCAGTTAAGCAGATGTCTGTTCAGCTCAAGCACTGTCAGAGATGCGCAGACCAAGCGCAGTGCTGGAGCTCTGTCGGCAGCAGAGGCTGTTTGCTTGGAGATGGGCACGGTGACCTGGATTCCAGCGGTCCCTCACTCACATTCGAGAGAGAGGGGCGCTGAAGTCTGGAAGCATCTTGCTCTTTTGATATTAAAGATGAATAAAATAAGCAGAGTGCAACGTCCTTGACTTCAGTTGGGTGTGATTTTGCCATCGGTCTCATACCGTGTATTTATGGCAAACTGTTGCTTTCTGCCTTGCAGGGAATAAATCACAAAGGGAGGAGCTGGACTCCATTCTCTTTCTTTTTGAAGTAAGTTTTATAACTACTTTTTATGTTAAATCTCACTGTCATTGTATGCTTACTTAGGCCTTTACAAGGAGGGGTGAAGCCAGATGTCAGTCAAACCGACAGTAGGTGTCCGTGACTACACAAAGTAGGAGGCAAAGGAGAACTGGGGGGGGTGTAAGCTTGCAGATATGACGACAATAAACAGTTCATTATGCAATAGGAATGTTGGTTGAATTAATATCCAGAGTTAAGAGATTTCATCAGAATTACTTGATAGTCGTTTTGATAAATGACAGGTGTATTAATGTTGCTTAGCTGTAAATAATATGAATACTGTCATTATGAATTATACCTGTCCTGAGGATCAACTCTTTGGAAGTGTCCTGGCTTCTCTCAGTAGAATTTGGGAGCAGTTTTGTTTGAATGAAGCTCTTCCTTCTGTGCCTCATGGAGGGCTAGTTTGAAACATCAGTTCTGCTCCGCTGTGCTTTGTCAGGGTGAGGTTCAGTGTCACCTTTATGTTGAATGTCTCCCAGCAGGAGTTTGGGCTCTGCTCCTTTCACAGGGGGGCATCTGTTAGGACTGCAGTATTCGGTCTCGTCTCGCAGCACAAGGAGAACAAAATGAATAAGAGTTGTCAACTACCGCATAGCAGTTTGAGCTGAGTGTGTGAAATGTTAATTTCACTTTTTTAATGACTTGCTGTTTAAAATGTGATTTATTAAAGAGGAGCATCTTTCCCCCCAGAAGCGTGCCCTTCCCAGTGCCAGCGCTCAGTGTCTGCAGTGTCTAGGGAGGAAATGTTGGCCAGTTATTGTTTGCAGAGCCAAACCTGGGTGTCTTTGATTTAAAGAAGAGTAGATTGTGATAGATCCTTTTCTCAGGGGCATTTACAGTCAGTTATTACCTAATTACATTTGGGTGTAAGAAAACATCACTAGACCAGATGAAAGCCTGGCATATAAAGTGTCTTACAAACACACAGCAGAAGCCTCAGCAGAAGCTCTGCCTGTCTGAAGGCAGGATCAGTGGTGCCTATAGGGGTTTTGGTTGTGGTTTTCTTTAACAATCCATTAGGTAAATAATTGGCCTGATTTCTTTCTTAAGGGTAAATACACACATCTCCTATTGATTTCTCTTTGTTAATCCATCTGCTAACTTTTTACTTGAGTCTTGCATCACAGAAGTGTTAGTCTTTCTTTATAGTTTAGGCTTTTTTTTGGGTAGGGGTGTTAGGAAAAAAAGCCCCAGACTTTCAACGGGACTCTAGAAATTGAAGTTAAAATGAAGGTTACATGTTCTGAACTCTTTTCCCTCCCTCTAAAAATGGAAATAAAAAAATCCATTGCATTATGTATAGCTTGTAGTGTCAGTAATACTTATCCTGACAAGAAGAATGATGCTGTCTAGCTTAACATGCTGTAGTATGAAACATGGCCATGAAAATGATGACATGAAGTGCTGGATTTTTGTGGTCTCATCTTCTGATGTTTATGAGGAAGCCAGTTCATCTCTGACTTGCTCCTCTGACTACCAGGCTGCATTTTCACACTGAAATCTAAAATCAAATCATGTTTTCTGCTACTTAGTAATAAAAGAGCCTGCTTTAGGCTTTGCATGGGGCTCACACATCTGCTAGTGCCGTATTTGGGCAGGAGAAACTCTTCTTCCCTCTCCTCCCACCCCAGTGGTGAAGGTATGGCCACATCTCCTGAGCAGGGCTCTGCAGCTTAATGGGAGCTCATTAATGCCTTGCTGTGTCTGGAATAAGTAATTTCAGTGGCTGTGTCATGAAATGGCAAAGAGCTGATGGTTACTCACCTGCTTAAAGTGAGCACACGTGCATTCCTGCATCCTGAAACCCAAGGTGCTGAGAACTGCACATCTAATGCTGCTGAGAAACGTCAAGAAAACACTCTGTGTGAGGAAGAGAAAAAGCCATAGTTACATGGAACACGGTGTTGCTTTGGGTCCCAGTCAAGGGGAATTACGTTACAGCCTGGTCATCGACAGCCCTGGGGAAGAAGAAATCCTTTTGGATACTTGTGTGGATTTTGGAGGGATCTCTTCTTGGCGTTTATCTACTGAAGTAAGTTTGCAGCCCATTTGTGACACTTGCTCACTTGTAGAACAGTTCTTTAGAGGGCTTTTAACATATCAGCCTGAGCACAGGACGGGAGAAGGTGTAAATGCCAAGAAATGAATCATTCATACTGCAATCCATAGGAAACCCAGCTAATGGGTTGTTAAACTGCCCAGGTTTCATCTGGTGGCAGCTGAGCCAGAGGGTGCCTGGGGTTTCCTTCTAATTAGCTAAATAGGTAATTACTGAGGATTAACAACGCTGGAGTCCAGGAGCTGAGGGCTAACACTGTGAATCAGTAGCAGTATTTATGGAAGGAATGGAGTTCTGCCTGTCCCAGTGGCTCAGGGGGGTCCTGCTGTTGTTCTGGTGACACCTACTGTGGGTGGGAGGTGAAAGTAACAAATGCCTTTTCCATAAATCCCCTGGAAACTATGTTGATTTGGTTGGAGTTTGTTGCAGAATAATGCCAAGATGCAGGGCCCTGCTCTTGGAGCCATTCTGCAACAGTAGTTTATTGAAGGTTTCATTTTACCTGTCAGCTCCCCAGCCTGCCCACTCAAAGGTAACATCACAGTATCACAGTATGTTAGAGATTGGAAGGGACCTCAAAAGGTCATCTGGTCCAATCCCCCTGCCGGAGCAGGAACACCTAGATAAGGTTACACAGGAACGTGTCCAGGCGGGTCACACAACATATTAAAGAAGAAATATTAATCAAAAGGGGGTAACATGAAAGGTTAGCAGTTCATTTTGTAAAGTACTTGGTTACAATTAATGTAACAAAGGTCTTAGATCCAACTTCATGTTCTCTAAGGTGCCTTGGCCTCCTCTTTTCCCAAATAGATACTCATGAAATGATACAGTGACTGTAGTTAGCTGTATTATTTTTCCCTGTATCATCTCAAAGGCCAACTCATGTGAGAACTGAATTTGCCTGTTCTCTGGTGAGGCCGAGTTACCTCCAGACTGCAGTGTGTGGTCAGAATGCATTGATAGCGTTTCCTGTCACTGTTCTCTCTGACTGGCCAGCCCTGCGTGTTACACTGAGCACTGTGGGGCACAGAAGGTGCACTGCAGTTCTGCAAGGCTTCTGGGTCCCATGGAAGTTCTGTGCCATCATTTGGGTGTGAAAGCTGGGGTTTATTTTAATTATAAAGGGTTTTGTCCTGCAGCATCAGGTACCGATTCCTCTGAGGCTGCATTCTTTTTGCATGGGTAATGCAGTAAGAGCAGGCTGATAGGTTGATATAATAGACAGATCAATTTCTTCCCATTCTCTATGTGTTATGGGTTAAGCACAGCTGCATCTCTTGCGCTGATGCTGCATTCATTGCACTGATGTAACATGCTGGCTGTATGAAATAGTTTATTCTTATCATTTCAGATACACTTTCTAGGCCAGGAAAGCTTCCCAAAGTCACTTCCAATAGCTGCTGTTGTTGCTAGAACTTTCTCAGGTCCTGCCAGTGTAGCTCAGGTCTGTGCTGAGTGTAGCTAGCTGGGGTGGTGGATTGGGTGCCCCCACTGCCCCAGGGGTATGTACACAGAAAGCCTCTCAGCACAGATTGCTTTGCTTGTTTATTGTGTAGCAGTGCATATTGCTGTAGCATTAAGTGCCCTCGTGTTTCACAGCTCCTTATTTACAAAAGCATACTGTGGTTTTCATATAGCTTGCACAATAAGCTCTTAACTGCTGCAAGTCCATGGCTCTTGTGGAATTTGTGGTTCCTTGAGCTTGGAGAAGATGAGAGTGAGGCCAGCCACAGGGTAAGCACGACCTCGTAGAGGATCTGCAGAATTTCAACCCTGATGGAACTCATGCTGTGCAGTGACTGCGCTTCTAGACCCTTCTGTGTGCCAGGCCCAGCCTGCCCCCGAGTGGCTCTCACCCTGCTGAAGTGAGTTGAGGCTGGCAGGGGTGATGAGCAGGCACAGAACTCTCTGTTCTGCCTCCCATACAAGCTCAGCAGCAGAATACTGACGCATCTGTCCCAGCTCTCCTCTGCAGTGTCCCCAGTATGTGCCCAGCAGGTGATGTAAGCTGGAATGTGAATGTGCTGGGAGCCTCTGCAGTGCTGGCATTGCACACAGTCGGGTTCATGCGAAGTGACTTCAATGAAGTGTTGTCCCAGAGCTGATCATCAATAAACTGTTGGAACTTGCCCAACATACTTTGAGCTCCGTGTTCTATGGCAGTGGGTACTGATCTCAATACAGTGGTGCTGTCCTTAAGAGCACGTCTCAATATAAACTACAAATGGCCATATACTCAGAGGATTAAGATGTGGTATAAATCCACTGCAGCACGAGTTGCTCTGCTGTCAGAATGGGAATGTAATGACCACAGAAGCAACCCCAGTTTATTACTGCAGGTGTGCACAAGTTACTTGTTCTGCAAATGGTGGTGCTAATTCTGTACAGGTCTGTAACTGGCTACAGTCTGTTAGGAGCCCTTTGGAGAAGTAGATTCAGACCAGGCACAGTAGCTACACCACATGTGTCAGAGGAACACTGGCTGTGGTGTGGGTGCCCAGGCAGGGCTCTGCCCTGACACAGCACAGGAGCAGGCGCTGCTGTACAGCACTGCCCGCTAATGCACATAAACATCATTTAAAATGTACAGCTGTGGTTCATACTGCATCAAGGTAGCTGTGGATGGTTTAAATATTGGGTTCTTCCAGCACACTGTAGGACTGCTTTATATAGACTCCTGTGTGAATTAGCAATAGTGGTTAAGCAGCTTAAAGCAAATCTCAAAGCCAGTGGTGATTTTTAGCAGGTCATTTTCAATGCCATAAACCCAGCATCAGTGACACCTTCACTGCTTTCACACTCCTCACTCTTTACAAAGGACTTTAGTGCCGTGATGCTATATTTTATGGATGTGCAAAAGGCTGCTCTGTATCTGCAGCGTATTCTTGGGCTGGTTTGCTTA